TACGCGGTAATTGGCGCGATTATCTTATAAACATATATTTCAATCTTACATAAATATAAAAACTGAACATTTCGAGCCATCCTCAGCAGTCTTGCATAATAACAATTCTTGATAGCCATCCCATATTCGTATATCCAAGAAATCGGATACAACAAGGAAGTCTCACAGATTACTAAATCTTGGTTATTCTAATCAAATTTTCGTTAAAATAACTAAATTTTAATTAAAACAATACAATTTCTTAATGAAAAAGTAAGAAAGTTTTTGTTAGTTACATATCAACAACATTTTAGTTGTACGCACAAAATGATTTTTCTAAGTATACACAACTAATATACCCAAGTTAATATTGCGGATCACAATCAACTGTCTTTTAATTATTTGACGGGGTAACACCGAAAATAATACCCAGAATGGAGGTTCGTCCAAGTATTTGAGAGTAACACTCGACATGGCATCAAAATCGATGGTAAATCTTAAATTAACACTCAAATTAATACCAAAAAATGTATATTTTTTAATAAGGACCAAGTGGAAATTCGAACATACTCTTAATTAGATAAAACAGTATCGAGTTAAATCCAATCCTACTTTTTTATCTATCTTAAAAATTTACTTTACTAAAGAATTAAAACTATTATTTACTCACTACTATATGCTCCAATTAACTTGATCGGTCGATGAAATTTCAGTATTGCCAATTGCAAAGAAATATTTTGACAGCTGTGAAGAATAAAATATGTCATTAAAATAATTATAATAATTAATTTTGAGTACTTTAGTATCATACGCATGCAGTAATAACAATTATTATTAAATTTTCTTGGTTCTTCGCAATGCCGCCAAAAAATCCGCCGCTCAAGTTAATCGGAGTTAGTAAGATTGACCCTTGGAACCTTGGATTAGCCTTATATCTCATTATGATGTACATCAAAAGCGAAAAAATACATAATAAAAATTCTTACAAAATATTTTAGTATAAAAATATGTTTCAATAAAACAACAGTTATGATTGACAGATCTGACTTAAAATATATCAGAAACTCTTTTTTTATTGTATATGGTTAATTAGGAATTACGCACAAAGCGCATGATGATTCATTTATCCTTATTATTCACCGAAGAATAAGGAAAGATAAAATGATCTCATGCGCTTCATGCGTAATTCGGAATGCATTCTTAATAAATGATACATCTGAAAAGAATTATGCAATCTAAATCGAAATGGGCTATTTTCATAATTAATCTGTCAAATTAGTAATATATAGAAATATATAGAAATATATAAATTTAATTTTTCCTAGAAACGAGAAGATAGTTTTCAATATATTTTCTAAGTCTTTTCTATCGATTGCAATGCTGTTTTATTGAAAATTTTTATTCAAATATAACTGGCAAGAATTTTTATGTTTTCTAGTTTCTAACATCAACATCTGAGACATTAATAGTGAATGGATTTTAAATATGATGTTTATAGCGTAAAAACCAAATGAGATTTTTTATTGAAAAATATATTTGTGAATTTAATAAAGTTTTTCTTTTACCTCTCCTGGTAATACCTTCGTATTCTATAATTACTCCATAGTTGTTAATGTTAGAGCAAATGATTCAGATGCGCCCGAGATGATGATTACTACAACGATGTACGCAACTCGTGACTAGAATTATTATTATTAGAAATTATAGGTATACGAGCAGCTAGAATAGATTCCTACAATTGTTTGGGGAGGAACGATTTATAATAGCATTTTCTATCAGAATGTTGAATAAATGAGTGTAAATCGGAGAGCTGAATATTTTACTCTTCTCAAATAATTCCGTGTAACTGTCAGATTACGAGCTCTTACTCTATCTCCTGGTCCCGTTAGATTACGTACTTACTCTTGCTTGGTTCATTCCTAAATTCTGTACAATCTGTCAAAATTTTCGTTGAAGATTAAGATTGATCCTTGACTTGTATCCTCTGATAGATACTAAAATTATCCTAAATTAAAATCATGTCATCAATCGTCTTGCATTGAAATTTATATATAAAAATCAATCGTCATGCATATGAAATTTATATATAAAAATAAAATTCTAAGAGAAACTTAATTAGCACATAGATAAAAACTAGATAGATTTAAGTATAAAGATTGCAAAGTGGACCATGCCCGATGAAGAAGAACAAGTAATGGCGCAACAGGTC